AAGCTATCCAATGTTTTGTATCTATTATGTTCCCTGTTAACACTGAGCAAAATGCTAATGCCTCCTATGTATGTAAAAGAAATAGAGTAAGTTGTTATATAGAAACCCCTGACACTATACGCAATTTCTTATGTCCCATATTCTGATAATGTCTGTCCTCTTGGCTCTCACTTCTTAGACTTTCTCATAAACATGGAAGCTTCATGACAAAGTGTGAAAATCATCATTTCCTCCTTTATGAAGTATACTGAAGACAAAGGGATAAAGGCATTTCACATTTAGCAAAGCTATTTTATGGCAACATTGTTACAACACAAAATAGACATTGCAGTTTACAATTAACAATTACATAGTGATTTCATAACAATTAATACTACTTACTCCAATTAACAAAATATTTCTTTATAAAAAATATGTTCAAAAGGAGGTTTACATTCACTTCTTTAATATCAAGGTTGTAACAATGGTCTTAGGAGATGCAAAGACAGAAAACTACTTACCTTAAAAATCTGTATTCTTGAAGATATATACTCCACTTGGATACTGCTCAAGGTTTAGGCTTCCCAGACAACTCAAGAGGATTTTGGAGTTGTACTTAATATACCCAAGAAATAGCCAAATTTCCTAAACTCAAAATTTTGCTAACCAAGGGCCTGTAACAAAGTTAAAAGACACCACAGGGTTCAAAAGTGAACAAATATGTTGTTTTTGTTTTGAGACGGCATCTCACTCTTGTCACCCAGGTTGGAGTGCAGTGGTGCAACCTCTGCTCACTGCAACCTCCATCTCCTGGGTTTAAGTGACTCTCACACCTCAGCCTTCCGAATAGCTGGGATTACATGCGCGCGCCACCAGGCCCTGCTAATTTTTACATTTTTAGTAGAGATGGGGTTTCACCATGTTGGCCACACTGATCTCGAACTCCTGACCTCAAGAGATCCGCCTGCCTCAGCCTCCCAAAGTGCTGGGATTACAGACATGCGCCACCATGCCTGGCTACAAATATGTTAATGAGTTAATTAAGATGGTGCTGCTCAAATGATTCTAACTCAGGAAACTTCGGTTGCAGGTAGGTAATCTCTAGTTCTCTAAAGAATAATACCCAAATGGCAGGAGGATTTATGTGTTGGTGCAGTAATAGCTCAGTCTGTTTCATGACCTAGCTAGAGTCAGAACTGGAGCAGTGGCTACAGCACAGGGGTGGCTTTCTCCTCTCTGAAGGAAAAGTAAAGAAGTAGGAAGAACGAGGTTGAAAGAACAGCCTACACAGTTGTTGCCCAGATCTCGAAATTAGCAACAAGTATGTCAGCTGTCCTAATTATTACCAAACAGGTCCTGGGAGTGTCTGACATACAACATAATAAAGGTATAATCAGTTCCAGAATCTGGTTCCTGGATATGAACTAATTTAGCTCTAAGACCTTCAGCAAGACTGTCTCTATGGCCTGCATTTCTCTCCTATAGGTTTGACAAAGATTCACCTGTAAGTTTGATGAAGATAGGCTAGATATGGCCCTCAGTAAGAATTTATTCTGGCTGGGAGATTTAAAACTGTAAATGCTTGAGTTCTACCTCCAGATTCTAATTTTATTTAATTGGACATCAGACCATGGTGTCTGATTAAATAACTATCCAATTATTTAATTGGGCATATTGTATTTTTAACTCCAGGTTATGTAATAGGCATGAAGTATTGAGGAACACTGACAAAAAGGTTAAGAGTTCAGTGAGACACTGAGGCCTCTTCAGTACATAAAAATAGGGTTGCAAGTTAGCATCTTGATACTCTTTGGGGGATTCCATATCTCTTCACTTGCCATTAAGTGAAACGTTCAGAAATTTAAGAGTCAACAATGCCATCATTACTGCTGTCAAAGTCCTTCAGTGATTAAAAAGATATCGTGATCCCTCCATCATCTGGTGTTGTTAAATTACTTCAGTAAGAACAAAAGATGTGCTTTCCAAGGGTGGAGACATCCAACTTGTATTCAGTTCCCCATTACATTCTGGATTTGGGTCAATAAAAGCAGCATCCATTGGGGTGATAGCTAAGGCGTGCCCTCGCCACATATGAGTAAGATTTCTGGAGGGGAGTAGTGTGGAAAAGTGGTTTTAACATTGGGCAAGAGGATGTCAGAGAATTTCTGAAAGACACGGCTATCTCTAGAAACTCACTGTAAGTAAAGAGACAATTAACATTTTCGAAGCCCATTTATCCCTGATGGTCAATTACACACTGAGAACTTCCTTTTTAAGATTTGCCCTGAAGGGCCCTAGAGCATTACCTCTTCCATGCAGAGAATCAGAAAGCTTGGATTCTAGCTCTAGCTCCCAACAATTAGCTGTATATAACTGATGATGGGTGACTTCATTAGTGTCAAAGCCAAAGCATATTCTCTGTCAGCTTTTCAAAAAAACACGCAGTAAAGAGAGATTCCTACCAGGAAACTTTGATGGGTGTTTTTCAAGTGTTATCTCACAGCAGAAGATTCCTCAAGTGGTCAAACCTTGCCAACAGCTTCAAAAAAAAGGTAACTAGGATTTAACTTTACAGTGCATTTTGATGTTTCCCTTTGTGTCGTATCTGACAATAAAAGAACTTTAAAAAAAAAAAAAAAAAAAAAAAACCAACACTATCCAGCTTCTCCATTCTGTCTCCTGCTTTGCTTTTTCTTGTTTATAAAATACAAATTGATGGCTGGATTTGATGTTGAAAATTTAATGTAGTTATCTCATGTCACAGATAAACAACAAAAATGACTTGACCAAGTTCACAGTGTTGTTTAATGGCAGAGCAAAGCACTAAAGATGGATAGTCCTGCCTTCCTAATTTGAACGCTCTTATCTCTACAGGTTAGGATCAAGTTATTCAGCAAAATAGGCTATCAGGAGGTTAAGCCCAAACAGTGAGGACACAAACTTTTATGATGTTTGACTAAATGCATGCAGTTTACCTCAAGATTAAGGGATTAAAAAAAGGTTGGAAAACAGTGTAACCCTATCTCCTGGATACATCTACAGACCTGCATTTAGGAATTATGCCAGGCTGTTATTTCTAACAGAGCTGATGATCATAGGTGGGGCCTTTAGGCAGGACTGGGTATTTGGTTCTTAAAAATGATTCTGTGCCTGCCTATCTTAGGAATAAATAATGCTTTCAATGATCTGCATTGTTCTGTCTACCTAAAAGGTACAAAGAAAAAGAATATATTTAATTAAAGAGAGATGTGTCCCAGGTAGATGGTAAGCAATGGGAATAAAGTCATGATATACCCAGCATAACCAATGATGAATGTTATTAGCCTGATAGCCACCATTCTAGTCTTAGTTGAAAATAAGCACCTCATAAGTTTACATAATTTTAGGTGTCAGAATACACGTACGGAAAGGACAATCTAGACTAAGGAAACCTGAAATTTAATTCTGAAATTCATTAGGGAACCATGCCTAAGATGAGTTTATTTTCTTAACTGTAAAATGGAAGTGTAACCTTTAACTTTCCTCAGTGGCTCAGATGAAATACTGTGAAGGTACAGAGTAATGCTATATGACACAAAGCAAAAAGTGCTGTGCAAAAGAAGACAGTGTGCTAAATATTAGGAAATTTCTGAGTTCCAGAAAATTTAGATTTTTAAGAAACTATGTCATGTGAAGACGTGTTTTGGAGAAACAATTTTTCCAATATTGTATTTATATATTAGGAGGGATTATATAAAAGGTGTTCAAAAAACAAGTATCAGGAAAACACTAAATTAAGCAGAATTTAGCAATTGTTTTTAACTTCAGACTTTCTCAGAGCTTTGAATATTGTATACCATGAATCTCCAAGAAAGGACAACTGAGCTTATTCTCCCCAAACTTATATGACCACCTAATCCTTTTTACATGGACCTTCTCAGGGGAGCAGTGTTCCATATAACATACTTAGGGAACACACATTCTTACTATCTATTTTCCCAATTCCTATTGTTTGCTTCAACACAAAATAGTAAGACACTGTGGCTAGAATTTTTTTTTCCATATAAACATAAACGTGTACTGACACATGTTGGTAAGCATTTTATAGGCTATTCTAGCTCTCAAATAACATGACTCTAAATCTAAACCAGATCACTAACATAGCCTCTTTCCAGAAGGCCATAATGAGTACCTCCTCATCAGGATAGAGAATGTACCCTTTAAGTTTTGTAGGAGTCAAGTACCCCTTTGTCTTGGGCACAGATTTCTGTTAAGACAGACAGAAACTCTTCCCTTGCTGGTCCAGCAGCGGCTTTCTTGTTCTCTGGACCAGCCAGAATAAAAAGACGACTTCTTGCCATGCATCATTTGTTGTTTATCTAACACTGAATCCCAAATAAAATTTCACACCTGATTAATAGATCTGACCTTTTAAACTAGAAAAGCAGCAGCAACCTGAGATGGAATTGGTAAGAGAAAAATATGGTAACATTCTTAGCTAAAATACTGAGAGAAACGGAGAGTTTAAGTCTACTACTGTCTACAGTACTTATGTGAATGTTATAAAAGATGTGTTAGAAACTGGTGGCGATGGCAACAAGTCCTGCACCAGTTCTTAAATTCTCTCTTATAGCTAGTAGAAAGGATTACAAAGTTTGGCAAACATCTTGCATGGATCAAGACTGTTCACAGATGTCTGAGCAACGAATAATATGTCTATAGATGAGATCTAAGAGGTCATTTTACAACTGTTTACTAGAAGATATAAACATTTTTGCTCTCCCATTTGTAAGCTGTAGGTATGCATCATGGCTTCTGTGATCTCAGAGCTGTTTCTCGGACGAGCAAAAGAAGAGATGAAAATGCTCCTCTTGACCTCTATCTGCACTACACCAGAAATGTCACTGAGCCAGTTTCTTCTAGGGAGATAACAGAAACATTCTATGCAAGGCTGTGGGGGGCTGGTAATATAAGGCTAGGAGGATAAAGCTCCTTACTAATGAACAAGCTGACATTGAATAACATGGCATCTATGTGGAACATGGTTTGAAAACATTTTAAGATCATTCAGACATCTGAGACCACTCACAGTTTCTTCCTCCCAAGGCTGTGAAATAATATTCAAAAGTACATCAATAAATTCCTGGTGCTTTTCCATTTTATGGTAGCTTACATTTTATACCCTCAGTGTCCTTCAAAAGTGGCTGGAATAGCCCACCTATACCTTTATCTGATATGTTCATCTCTTTTTCACCCTTTGGAGAAGTAAGATTACTTACAAGAAAACTGATTCTCCAAAAAGTATATATACATAGTACGTAACACTGGTAAATAATGGGTGTTTCTAACAGTTCTTAGAAACTGGCAAAGAGACAGAAGCCCGTAACTACCCCCAAACTCACCCACCTTCATACATCTTCACAGAGACATCAATAGCAACAGTGAATTTATACATAAAGAATAAGTGAGGCAAAGGCAAAAGCAGTATCAATCTGTCTGAGTGTAGGCAATGGTGCCTTGATTATTTACCCGTACAAATTCTTCAGTCCCTTTTGGTTATCCCCAACTCAGCTCTTAAGCCGCAGATTTTTGCTGTGGAGAACTCAGATGTGATGTAGCTGCTCCAGTAACTCTTTTCACAGTACTGCATGTCAATAATGGGAATGATTTCTAATCAATTTAAACTGCACACGGTACTTTAATAGAACAAGAAGTTTATTACTCCCACTCAGTAGTTCCTGGGGGCTTTGATGTTAAGTCATACATAATTCGAGAAATACCAGGAATCTTCTTAATCTCAGTGACCATCTTTAATACCACCTATTAAAAAAAATTACAGAGAAAAGTCAGCATCCACTGTATGTCCAGCAGTCCTAGAGGGCTTACATTTCTAATTTAAAATTAAAAGTTGACTATTTTCACTATTGTCCTCCACGTATATGGGATGGTTTCCGATTAATCTTATAGAATTAACCTATTCCCCTCTGCAGGGATAGGTTTAAGTTATTAAGGTTTAAAATATTAGTGGCTTAAACTCAGTACTACTCAAAGTGTGATCCACAAACAGGTGCTAGTCTGCAATTTGTGTTTGTGACTGAGCCACAACAAATGCTTAAGAACATACAGTGATTTGACATTGCTGTGGCATCCAGGCATGTGATTTTACGTGTTTCAGCCAATGCTCTGCAAATTATCTGCAGCTTAAACATACAACTCTAAGGGCCATTAATCATTATCAAGTACACAGGAAGAGAGAATAGCCTGCTCACTTGTCAAATTTGGCAAATTTGAGTCTAAGAGAAAACTAACTAAGCCACATTCCCCAACCCATCTACCTAGCTACAACCACAGCCTCGTGTTAGTGCACTGGAGGCAGCGGCCCAACTGTGAGACAGAGTCTCACTTTGATTTTCACTTGCTATTATGCAAGTAGCTCCTTTGGAATGTTCTGGTGAAAACAAAGAAGGATCAAAAATTGAGTTGGAATTGGTAGTAGGGAGAATATTTAGGCAATTCTTGGGTGTCTGGCCATAAAGCTATCAAATTGCATCCTTATTTCTAACAAACTCTTCTTCACTCCTAGAGTTTTCTTCTTTATTTGGGGAATACTATTTGTAAAGTAGAAACTGGCAGGATTAGATAAAATTATTATAATTGATTACTGTTTATATAGTAATCAGACATTTGGAGAGCATTTATAACTTAAGGCCTTTTTCTGCCCCAGTGTATTAATCAAATATGTGAAAATTAAAAAAAAAAAAAAAAAGGCCTATCTTATGAACAGAAAACCAGCATCAGAAATACAGCACTGGCACAGCCTATTCCATTCACTGCATTATAAAATGTAAGAGGCACTGAGAACATGCATTAGAAAAAAATATATAAATTACCTCTACAGGGATCTCATTGCCAGGTGTTGCAGGTATACCAGTCATGAAGTCACTAGTAATAAAGGTTCGAATAACCACAGATCTCTGGCATGAAGGCTGCTTTTGAAGTGGGTCCCGATCAAAATGTAATGGTGTCAAAATCACCGGCATCTGGCTGATTTTCCCAGCATACCCTAGAGAAAGGTACATGTAGAACCAATCACCGCACCATAGAAAAGCACTCTCAGTTCAATTAAATCCTCCCAGACAATATCTGAAATCACATATACACACACAGCATAGTTAAGACTGTCATCATGCATTGATTCTAGCTACTCGCAGAGCATTTTAATTGGACTCAACCACAAATGCAAAAAACAGAATTTGATCACATCAGTGATGTTTCACTGATGTGCTATAGAAAGAGTCCATTCTCATTATTCTCTATTATAATTTGCAGTATAGTTATATTCTACACTGCAAACAATGAATTAGTGAATATTGAACCATTTCTCCCAGGGGATATGGAGGGTTAGGTCCCTGCAAGCCTCTGGTTGCAATATTTTCATCAACTGATTAATATATAACCTTGTTTTATGTATGTTTCTGATTTAAGACACTGTATTTAATATTTATTATAGATTCATTCATACTGAACTCAAAATCAACAGCTCTTTAATTCATGCCTGAATGAAGTTTATCTGACACACAGATTTTCTCTGTAAGGTACATCACAGCATTCCTCTGCTCAGGAACCCAGACAGCACTTCAACACTATACTTGAGATCCATTTTAAACAGCAAAATCACTAACAAAAAGCATAAAAATGCAAAAGATATTTCATCAAGGAGACCATGAAAAAGACTTATTCACATTATGAGAGCTGGAACAAGAAGGCACAGTGTCACCTTGTTCAAACTCAGCTGAGAACATCTAAGTCTGGAAATTCAAATTTTCTGCTGCTCTGTGCATACCCACAAATTGCCACAAAGGTGAATATATTTTATTTAGAAGCAACATTATAGGCTAGGTGCGGTGGCTCACACCTGTAATCCCAACACTCTGGGAGGCCAAGGCTGGCCTCACCTGACTCCTGACCTTATCACCTGAGGTCAGGAGTTCGAGATCAGCCTGGCCAAAATGGCAAAACCCCCATCTCTACTAAAACTACAAAAAAATAGCCAGGTGTGGTAGCGGGCGCCTATAATCCCAGTTACTCAGGAGACTGAGGCAGGAGAATCACTTGTAACAGGAGGCGGAGGCTGAAGTGAACCAAGATTGTGCCACTGCACTTCAGCCTAGGTGACACAGCAAGACAGACTCTGTCTCAAAAAAAAAAAAAAGTAACATCATAGAACATTCAAAGATTTAAATAATAAAAACAAAAGCATCTAAAAAGCAAAAGCTACATCCTCCTACTCTTAATGTCAAGCTTCCAAAATCTAGTTTCAGAGGGTAGTGATCAAAAACATGAGCAACTTACCAGACTCCCTGAGAATGTTATGGGCCTCAAAATCTGCTTGGCGTAAAGTACTGAGCACCCCTGTTGTCAAGAAAGTGGGAGTAACATCTGTAGGAGGTTCTTTAACTGGTGGGCCAAATATATAAACAACTCTGGAAACAAAGAGGTAAAAATAATAGAGCAATTACATTTTAAATGTAGAAATTACATTTCAGTATGAGAAGCAAGGCACTTAGAACAGTAACATTCTTTCCATTTCCCACTTAGTTTTAGGCCCTTCTCCTGCCCACTTCATCTCCTCAAATGGAAAGGACAACATGTAAGATTATAGGAAGGTCTGTGTTCTATGTGCTTTCCTCCAAGTGTGTTCTCTGGAACATTCTGTATCTCAGAATGTACAAAGATATAAGTGATTATTACGACTCTCTTTTCACTTAACGTACTGGGTCAAAGAGTATCCCCAAAACTTCATGTCCACCCAGAATCTCTGGGGAGAAAAAGGGTCTCTGCAAATGTAATCAAGTTAAAATGAAGTAATACTGGATTAGGATAGGCTCTAATCCAATGACTGGTATCCTTTCAAGTACCGGAAAATTTGGATACACAGACACACATAGGGGAATGAGGATCACGTGAACACAAAGACTGACTGGATTATGCTGCCACAAGCCAAGCATTGTTAGCAACCATCCAATAGTAGGAAGAGGCAAGGAAGGATCCTCCACTAGAGTCTTCAGAGAGAATATGACCTTGCCAACACTGAATTCAGACTTCTGGCCTCCTAAACTGTGAGAGAATAAATGTCTGTTGTTTTAAGTCTCCCAGTTTCTGGTAACTTGTTATGGGTAGTCCTAGGAAACAAATACACATAGTTAAAATTTAAAAATAGGTGCCTTTATGACAAGACTTCAGAAACTATTAATATACTATGCTAACATGCACTGGAAATCTCCAAGAGGAAACTACAGTGAATTTCCCAAAATTAGTAAACTCATCTTTTTTTATCTACTTGAGAAACAATGATCCTAGAGAGATTCTCATTTGCACTTCATTAAAAGGGCCATTGAAATAGGACTTAGTATCCTACTACTTCCTTCCAAAAAAAAATTCATTACTGTTTTATATAAATGTCTGTCTGAAAGACATGAAGATATACCACAAATATCTTCATGTTAATGACAGTCAATGAGAGTACAGTTTGGAACATAACTTGAGGAAATCAGAATCAATTTTAACAACTTGAAGTGTGCTGGCCATTGGTTTGAAGGGATCTGTTTCACAATCTTCACCCAGAAAACAAGAGGGAATCAGGGTAGAGATATGAGTGCCACTTAGCTAGTTCTCCCTACTCCAGCCAGTAGACAATTGTCACTTTTCATCAGTCATGATTTTAGCAAAGAAAATAAAACTCCCTGGCAACTATCATGGTAAAGTTTAATGTTTTTTTCTTTTTTTCTTAATATGTACTTAGGTAAAATACACAAAAGAAAACCACATTAGCACAAAACCACTGACACCACCACCGACTTTATTGTCTCCTTCCAAACATACTACAACAGAAGCAAGCTTTTTATCCCATGCATAGACAGTAAGTTATACTTTTTCTAAACAATATAGTTCCTAAAGCTCATAAAAGATCTTTAGAGGAGAAAGTTAAGAGAATACCATGAACCTGCTTTTTAAACCTTCTCACTTCTTACATACAAAATCACTAGAGTGTACTGGCACAGGTATTTACCCACACTATATATGACAGTAAAACTGGAACAGTCCCTCCCTGTACAAAGATTCCCTCATCCAAATTAGGAAAAAAACTGGCAAACATGGAAGAATATTTTAAAACTCCAATTCCCCAAAAAGACCCCGGCAAAGAAATCTAAAGTTCACCAAGATTCTTTTAAGAGCTTGCTGGGAATATCTAGTTTTTTGTTTGCTGATTGTTAGGCTTTTTATTTTTTTCTTTTTTGAGAAGGGAGGAAGGAAGAAGAGACAAATAGGGAAAAGAGAGAGAAACTGGAATATAAACATAAAGTTTAAACAAGGATGTGTGCCCTTCGGCAAAAGAAAAAGGAGATAAAACTGTAAGAATGCTGTGAATGAAGAAATACACTAATTATACAGTAAAAGTGTGCAGTTCAATTTAGGGAAATTTTCTCTGTGATAGGCAAATTATGAGCCACTGTTCTAACCAAGACAATTATGTCCACTCAAAATATGCAATTAAAAATTTATCATTATTGAAGTTTTTTTGTCTGTTTTGTTTTGTTTTTGAGAAAGGGTTTCACTCTGTTGCCCAGGCTGGATTGCAGTGGCACGATTTTGGCTCAAGGCAACCTCCCAGGCTCACGCGATCCTCCCACCTCAGACTCCCAAGTAGCTGGGACTACAGGCACACACCACCATGTCTGGCTAATTTTTGTATTTTTTGTAGAGATGGAGTTTCACCATGTTGTCCAGGCTGTTCTCAAACTCCTAAGCTCAAGTGATCCACCATGCCTGGCCCCCATTATTGAAGATATTAATAATTCCATTTTTCAGCATATGAAAGATGCTTCTGTATTTGGGGGTCTTCAGTTCATTTGAGTAAGCTTTTGAATGAGCATGTTCCCATCGGTAAAAACACGGCTTCCCTGTAACTCCTTATCTCTAACTATACAGACTCTGCTAGGTTAACATTAAAAGGTAAGCTTCTGATTTCTGCAGCAATTTGAGCAAAATGAAATCTCAAGTAATTCTTTTTGGTTGTTAACTGCCTAACACCCATGAAGAAAATTGAAGAGAGAGAATAACTGTGAAATAAGAAAATTTAATTAGCAATCTAGTACAAAATAAGTGAATTTTTAAACTATATATGGTATGATGAAATTGAGTATTAGAAATAGATTATAAATCAGCTGTTGATATATCCAATGTAAGAAATTAATATGCAAATTAAAGGAAAATTAACCTAAAATGTAAATTATATATTTAAATGTAACTATTTTAATGCTATCTGGCACATGCCCATTTCTTCAATTTTTTTCCTTGGGGTTACTACTAAATTAACCAAGTCTCCATTTTTGTTTGTGGGGTAGGTGGTTGGTTGTTTTGTAGGGGTGGGTGGGTGTGTGTGTGTGTTACTTTATTTGTAATTCTGTAACCTGGACATACATTTTTTCAATCCTTCTGGAATAAAACATGTCACCATAAAACCAATAGCTAATATAAGCCACTAATTTAGATGATATGTTTTACAGCTGCCTTTAATATTTTACACTAAAATAAAAAATCTTTCTCCTTTAAATAATTTTTAACAGATGATTACATTGTGATAAAGAGTCAAAACACAAGATAATATTACATATCTACTTAACTGCGACCTATGTGCATATTTGAATTGCAAACACAGCCATTTACTCTTATCTACATGACCTACCTATATCTACATTTGAGCCTTTTGGTCTTTCATTAATGGAAAGCCCTTAAGAAGCACATCCTTCCATTACACATGTCCCCACCCTAGCTCCTGTGAAACACACCTGTTAACGTTGTGACACATGCGAGGTATAAGCCTAGCCAGAAAAATAAGTGATTCCCAGTCAGGTTCATCTTTACTGGAGATTCCACACACGTAACTGTAGGAACGACAGTCACCCTGAAAATAAAAAGATAATCAATAATTTTTAACAGTCAAAAGTTTAATTTGACTTTAAACTTAAACTCGGTTTAACTTGACAACGCTGTTTTTTTTTTTAAAAGAAAAGATGCATTGAAAAATATCTTATGCATGGTGACACTATTAATAGTTTTTTTGAAATCTGAATGAAAGTATATACTAGATGTTTCTTTAATGGTATGAATAAATTCCAAATTAAAATCCCATATTAGGCCGGGCGCGGTGGCTCAAGCCTGTAATCCTAGCACTTTGGGAGGCCGAGACGGGTGGATCACGAGGTCAGCAGATCGAGACCATCCTGGTTAACATGCTGAAACCCCGTCTCTACTAAAAAATACAAAAAAAAAAAAAAAAAAAATCCCATATTAAATCCTACCTGAATCAGTTAAGACATACATAAGGTATCATGGTAATATCAAGAATTTAGGCTGAGCACGGTGGCTAATGCCTGTAATCCCAGCACTTTGGGAGGCCGAGGTGGGCAGATCACCTGAGGTCAGGAGTTCAAGACCAGCCTGGCCAACATGATGAAACCCCGTCTCTACTAAAAATATAAAAATTAGCTGGGCATGGTGGCATGAACCTGTAGTCCCAGCCACTTGGGAGGCTGAGGCAGGATAATCGCTTGATCCTGGGAGGCGGAGGTTGCAGTGAGTTGAGAGATCACGTCACTGCACTCCAGGCTGGGTGACAGAGCGAAACTCTGTCTCAAAAAAAAAAAAAAAAAAGAATTTATTCAACATTCCCATTACCTGCTAACTGTGGATAATTTGGCAGACAAGGCCAGGTACAGCAGCTCACACCTATAATTCTAGCACTTTGGGAGGGCGAGGTGGGTGGGTCAGTGGAGCCCAGAAGTTTGAGACCAGCCTGGACAACATGGCAACACCCTGTCTCTACAAAGTATACAAAACGTAGCTGGGCAGTATGGTGGCATGTACCTGTAGTTCCTGCTACTCAGGAAGCTGAGGTGGGAGGATCACCTGAGCCCAAGGAGGTCGAGGCTATAGTGAGCAGTGATCATACCACTGTACTCTAGCCTGGGCAACAGAGTAAGACCCCATTTCAAAAATAAATAAATAAAATTATGAAAAATTGTAATTTGGCAAACAACATCTGCCCATGTTTTTTGAGTGGATAAAGAATTCTTAAGTGGGAGACAAAAACGATTCATAAACATTTACTTATCAATGTGTTTAAGTATCAGCTTAAAAGCTAATTTTAAAATAAGTAAATAAAACTGATTATAATTTATTCTCTTTTCCTGTATCCTGTTTATTCCAAGTAATTTGCTTTTTTTATGAAAAGCATTTTAAAAAGTAACTGATTAGAGAAGTACCTAATGCCCAGAGTGGCAGGTACTAAGAACGCGAAAATTCAACATATGTGAACGCTAATGTGATAGCATCTATAAAAGTGTAAAATGGGCTGGGCGCGGTGGCTCATGCCTGTAATCCTAGCACTTTGGGAGGCCAAGGCGGGTGGATTGCCTGAGCTCAGGAATTCGAGACCAGCCTAGGAAACATAGTGAAACCCCGTCTCTACTAAAATACAAAAAATTATCCAGGCATGGCGGCGTGTGCCTGTAACCCCAGCTACTCAGGAGGCTTAGACAGGAGAATCGCTTGCGAACCTGGGGAGGTGGAGGTTGCAGTGAGCTGAGATCATGCCACTGCACTCTAGCCTGGGCAACAGAGCAAGACTCCATCTCAAAAAAAAAAAAAAAAAGTGTAAAATGTAAATTAATACAGAAAATGATCCTACATAAATATCACATGGATAACTGATGGGATGCCTATAAAAATGAAAAACTGAGAACAGTTTAAATTGCCCACTGGTTAGAAGAATAGTTAAATAAATGATGGTATGCATAGAATATGAGGGAACAGTTAAGGAACAATCTACTTGGAAAGGCACAGAAAGGTAAGTTCATGATGCTCAGTAAAAGAAAAGTTGACAATGTGACCCCAAATCCCCTAATTTCTTTTTTAAAGTGTTTCTGGAAAGACACATACAAAACTTAACTGGAGAAGTAAATATAAAAGAATTTTTTTAATGTATTTTTTGTTTTTTACAATATGGTTTACTTCGGTATTTAGAAAAAAAATGCGTTCTTATTGCTAACCATGAACCATCATTTTTATCTGGGCTTGCAAGGGTCTTGAGCTTCAAAGGGTAAGAGACGAAAGTCAGTTAACCCAATAACAAAAGAAAATTTTATTTGGTGGGAATAGTAGTAGAGACTGAATAAGTTTCATTTTCAAAAAAAGAAATCACTTACATTCATCAATTAACTAATATCTATTTTTTGTAAACATTTCTCTAAAAAAGAAGAGGTGGGAACTTATTTCAACTCATCTCCCTGGTGTAGCATGAGTTAGCATACAGACGTGGAAGTTCTCTGTAACAAATCTACTTAAAACTGAGAAACTTTTAAGAATTAAATAACCTGTCCACAATTCTAATTTTTTAATATATTAAGGGTTACTCATTGCAAATTTCAAAATAAATTTGTATGTGAATGAGATAATCCATAAACCACTGAAAGAAAACATCAATAACTCCAAGTAAGGTTATTTCAATAGTGATTTTAAAACAACATAAGCAGCTTGCAACATTTTGCCTTTAAAAAGAAGGCAAGAGTTCCTTAACCCAAATAGCTGGCTCTATCACTTTCATGAAATAAAATATTTTAGTTTACTTTAAAAATAACAATCAATTTTTTCTTTTAAGACGGAGTTTTGCTGAGTGTTGCCCAGGCTGAGTGCAATGGCACGATCTTGGCCACTGCAACTTCCGCCTCCTGGGTTCAACTTTCCTGCCTCAGCCTCTCCGAGCAGCTGGGATTACAGGCATGTGCCACCCCACAGGCCGGCTTTATTTTGATAATTTAGTAGAGGATGGGTTCCTCTGCAATTTGCTCAGGTTGGTCTTGAAACTCCCGACCTCAGTGGATCCGCTCAAACTCGGTCCTCCCAAAGTGCTGGGATTACCAGGCAATGAGCCACCACTGGCAACCACCAGCTTCTTTAGATCTTGTTTTATTTACAAGCAAGAGAACTGCATGAATTCCAGAGCAAGAGGGATTTAACTGAGCAATTCATATATCTAGAACAAAAATGCTTTTATTAGGTTTACGATGAATAATCATCTAAAACAACGCAGAACTTCATTTCTACACATAATTTCTACTGTAAGAGCCACGATTTAAAACACATGGTAAGGCACGAATAACTGAGCTTGATGACCTTTTTGAGGTTGAGTTACTGACA